ACACAGATCCCAGTGACGTCAGTATGTTTGTTCAATCTTCTAACTGATTTACACAGATCCCAGTGACGTCAGATGTTTATTCAGTCTTCCAACTGATTTACACAGATCCCAGTGACGTCAGATGTTTGTTCAATCTTCTAACTGATTTACACAGATCCCAGTGACGTCAAACGTTTATTCCGTCTTCCAACTGATTTACACAGATTCCAGTGACGTCAGATGTTTATTCTACACGTGTAATAAGGTGGTAAAGAAATATCTTAATTGTGGCTGTATACTGTTTAACATCCATGCAGCCATGACTGCCTCCTGAAGTACCACGCTTTGTAGGAGTCTGAGCGGTCGGTCGTTGTGGAGCTGTTGTTGGAGTTTACTTAGTCGTTGTGGAGCTGATATCATAAACCAACACTTAAGATGAAATTTGAGAATTTCATAATCTATATGCGCGGGTGTTTCACAAAGCCATCATAAAAATACTTATTAACCTAAAATTCGCATGTAGACTATTTATCTAAAGATAGTTTTATGTTACGGTTTCTTTCAATATGAGGGTCAATAGAAATTATCTTAATAAAATGTAAAACTATATGGAATTAAAGCACCCATAAATACTAAAGTGGTTTTAAAAATGATTAGTTGATTGTTTGGAATATTCGCAGAGCTATCTGCAGTATCTATCTTGAATTTTCAGCTGACACATTAGATGGAACCATTAGCTAGTCAACAACATCCATCAGCTGACACATTAGATGGAACCATTAGCTAGTCAACAACATCCATCAGCTGACACATTAGATGGAACCATTAGCTAGTCAACAACATCCATCAGCTGACACATTAGATGGAACCATTAGCTAGTCAACAGCATCCATCAGCTGATACATTACATGGAACCATTAGCTAGTCAACAGCATCCATCAGCTGATACATTAAATGGAACCATTAGCTAGTCAACAGCATCCATCAGCTGATACATTAGATGGAACCATTAGTTAGTCAACAGCATCCATCAGCTGACACATTAGATGGAGTCATTAGCTAGTCAACAGCATCCATCAGCTGATACATTAGAAGGAAACATTAGCTGGTCAATAGCATCCATTAGCTGATACATTAGATGGAACCATTAGTTGTTCAACAGCATCTATCAGCTGATACATTAGAAGGAACCATTAGCTGGTCAACAGCATCCATCAGCTCATACATTAGATGGAACCATTAGCTGGTCAACAGCATCCATCAGCTGATACATTAGACGGACCCATTAGCTAGTCAACACCATCAATCAGCTGACACATTAGATGGAACAATTAGCTAGTCAACAGCATCCATCAGCTGATACATTAAATTGAACCATTAGCTAGCCAATAGCATCCATCAGCTGACACATTAGAAGGAACCATTAGCTGGTCAACAGCATCCATCAGCTGATACATTAGAAGGAACCATTAGTTGGTCAACAGCATCCATCAGCTGATACATTAGAACGAACCATTAGCTGGTCAACAGCATCCATCAGCTGATACATTAGAAGGAACCATTAGCTGGTCAACAGCATCTAGCGCTAACTCTTTTCTGATTGAATAGTGTGATTTTACTGTCACTCTCAAAACTCATACACGGTCCCAAAGTACGCACCGAGATCTTGCTGCAACGGGACGCGAACCATGGATCTTCGGATCCTCATTTGTGCACGAAAACCACTCCCTGCCTATTAATTATTGGAAATGTATTTAACAGAGACGAAGACTTTCGAGGGGGGTTGATGCTATCCCTAACAAAGGCTATTTCTCAACTAATACAACCTTTCAGCTTAAAGAAGTAAAACACTTAGAACACTTTAATTATGAATCCCAAAAGATTACAAAACTCGAGATGGATGCTAAGATTAGGCTACGAGTTTTAAACCGTTAGTATCCTTGTTCCTAAGTTAATAAATGTATCTGGGCAAACAACACATTATTAACCTTATCTTACAACACTTTAACCAGTGTCTATATTATATTTCTATCCACAATCTCTGAACCAACAAGACTTTGGTAAATTTCTCGCATAAGTGTTAATAATAATATTTAATAAACCTTTAAAGTTTGAGCTTGATTTAAATTAATTAGAGAACGTCAATGTATTTAAATCAGATTCACCCGAGGGAAAATTTTATCTTAAGATAATTTAAATGCAAATTGGTCAACACTTAAGACGGGAACTATGATGTGCCTCATGGACTGCTTTGTAGATGATGATTGGCTAGATATCCTGGAGAGACCTGAAACTACGTGCAATATGCTTATAGGATTTAATGAAATATATAGTATAAAACAACTACTATATAGTAACAATAATTTATTACCGTATATATAATTTTCCAGTAGAGGGTTACTGTAAATGTTTCACAGCTACAGTATTCTGTTGTGTTTTTGTGTGTTTGTCTTGTTTTTATTTTAACCTGTTGATTTAAGGAAGATAAATAGTAAGTTGGAAGGTCGTTCCTAAGTGTTAGATTTCAACGTAGTATCCATTAGTGCCTCCGAGAAACACTAAAACTTGTTGATGTAAGGAAGATAAATAGTAAGTTGGAAAGTCGTTCCTAAGTGTTAGATTTCAACGTAGTATCCATTAGTGCCTCTTAGAAACACTAAAACTTGTTGATGTAAGGAAGATAAATAGTAAGTTGAAAGGTCGTTCCTAAGTGTTAGATTTTAACGTAGTATCCATTAGTGCCTCCTAGAAGCACTAAACCTGTTGATTTAAGGAAGATAAATAGTAAGTTGGAAGGTCGTTCCTAAGTGTTAGATTTCAGCGTAGTATCTATTAGTGCCTTCTAGAAACACTAAAACTTGTTGATTTAAGGAAGATAAATAGTAAGTTGGAAGGTCGTTCCTAAGTGTTAGATTTCAGCGTAGTATCCATTAGTGCCTCCTAGAAACACTAAAATCTGTTGATGTAAGGGAGTTAAATAATAAGCTAGGGTCTTTGTTAAGTATTGATTTACAGTCTATGATCCTTTAGTGCCTCCTCTAGAAATTGTTTGTTTGTGTGTAATTAAGCACAAAGCTACACAATGGGTTATCTGTGCTCTGCCCACCACCGGTATCGAAACCCGGATTCTAGCGTTGTAAGTCCGCAGACATACCGCTGTGCCATTGGGGGGGGGCTCCTCTAGAAATAGTAAATTGTGTTCATTTTTAGGGGAGTTAAGTAATGAATTAAACAATCCTGTTAAGTGCCGAGTTACAGTCTATGATCTCTTAGTGCCTCCTCTAGAAATAGTAAACCCTGTTCATTTTTAGGGAAGTTAAGTAATGAATTAAACGATCCTATTAAGTGCCGAGTTACAGTATATGATACTTTAGTGCCTCCTTTAGAAATAGTAAACCCTGTTCATTTTTAGGGGAGTTAAGTAATGAATTAAACGATCCTGTTAAGTGCCGAGTTACAGTATATGATACTTTAGTGCCTCCTTTAGAAATAGTAAACCCTGTTCATTTTTAGGGGAGTTAAGTAATGAATTAAACGATCCTGTTAAGTGCCGAGTTACGGTCTATGATCCTTTAGTGCCTCCTCTAGAAATAGTAAACCCTGTTCATTTTTAGGGGAGTTAAGTAATGAATTAAACGATCCTGTGAAGTGCTGAGTTACAGTCTATGATCCTTTAGTGCCTCCTATAAACATCCAAGTATTTTAATCTTGAAGATTTTGTTGAATTTCCAGAAATGTGAAAAACCTGGTTTCGAGAATAGCTCGTGTACAACCTACGTACGATCTTGCTCTTTGACAGATTCCATAAATTATCCTTATCGCCTGATGAAGCTTAGCCAAATAGTGGTAAGACTTTTCATTGTTTTTAAAGGGTCACCTATTATATAAACCCTGAAGAATCTTGGCTATGGTGCATATCTAACGTATTATGATTCTGGTCATCTTCCTGGACATAGTTTACTTACCTTCAAGAGTTACTTAACCACACTGGCATATCTTGGCTATGGTGCATATCTAACGTCATCTTCCTGGACATAGTTTACTTACTTTGTGTATTATAATTATCATGAGTGAAAGTAAGTGAGAATATAAAAACGTGATAACTACAATACATCTGCTAAATCCAGTGTCGAAGAGGCTTTTCACCCAATACCAGGTTTTATCATGATGGCTAGGATACGTCAGATATTGTAATGAGTCGAGACGTTATTACATCATCGGTTGCAGGAACACCAACTTATTTCGTGTGTACTAGACTACGTTGATTAACTATAATCTTTGCGAATTTTATTGAAGTCGTTTGACATCAGAATTAGGTTTATGGTTTTTTATTGACGTCAATTTATTGATTTTAACACCTAACTGTTCATTTTTCGCCGCTCTCGCTAATCATTAAGTTAGTGCTTATTTGGCACATGTACTGGCCCTGGTCATTGTTAAGTCAGACTTGCCTACAGCACTTACATAGCCACTCTGGCTAATCATGGGGTTAGTATTTATCTGACACATATATTAACCCTGGATATTGTTAAGTTAGACTTGCCTACAGCACTTACATAGCCACTCTGGCTAATCATGGGGTTAGTATTTATCTGACACATATATTAACTCTGGACATTGTTAAGTTAGACTTACCTACAACACTTACATAGCCACTCTGGCTAATCATGGGGCTAGTATTTATCTGACACATATATTAACCCTGGACATTGTTAAGTTAGACTTACCTACAACACTTACATAGCCACTCTGGCTAATCATGGGGTTAGTATTTATCTGACACATATACTGGCCCTGGTCATCTTTCTGAACATTATCAATATGAAGGACCCAAGTACTGTGACCGTTATGAGTTATTCGGAAGCGTGGGTTCCTTGTAATCACAGCATCATGAAGAGTCAGGAGCATATGTCGGTTTATATGGATCCACGACACCTAGTGGTGAAAAACAACAACATTGGACAACTAAGTGAGCTTTAAACACTCTACGTTAAGTGGTTAGATTATATTATGACACAAAATAAACGACTTTAAACGACGGAAATTTGTGTTTTAAAAAATGATGATATGTGGTAAGAACATTTTGTTAAGTACTTCCTTCAGTTTTGTGAAAAAAAAAAGCCTTCACTTTATCAAAGATTGAAAAAAGTAGTTTCACATTAATATGACCTTTATATTATGAGTAATGAATTAAGACCACATTTACCATCTGTTGGTAGCATTGCGCTCAAAAGATTCGAACTAAAAACAACGACATACTTATTTCTTGTTAACCTTACCCGAAATTAAAAATTCATACAACGTTAACATTTATTCTATTCATAAAATACGTTTGTGTAAAATTTTGTAGAGTTTTCATAATCGTGTGAATAACAACGCTTCCGTTATTTTTGATTTTTGTTTGTTTGTTTGTTTG